GGGCGCATATTGGGTTTACAGCTCAGGAGCTGTGAGTGCCAGCGCTGCAGTCTCTCCAGTTCAAACAAACCTCCACCGAGAGGACGACTGATATGAGACAACCCACATGCATGTTTCACGAGTGAGGCATTAATATTTGAAACTAGCTCAAGCATTTAACATGACCCCGCTTCAGCTCTTACCAGCAAACACAGAACAGAAAGGAAATAAAAGACTTCTGTGAGCCTTTTCATCTTACTTCTACACAAATAACAACTCTCCACCTGGCAGACTACCTGGCTACGCAACAAGGACACAATTTCCTCTCAACAGACATTTCTTGGAGGAACACAAGACATCAGACTGATGTGGGACCTGAGCGTCTCGTATGGTTGGGGAAAAAGCACTGTCAGCAATACGGCAGGGAAAGTCACTCCAGGAAGGAAGGAGAGAAATGCACCACTGCAATATGCTCTGTTGTACCTCAATAGCCAGCGAATTCTTCAAACTAAATGGTCATACTGAAAAGAAATTGGTAATTACTGGACCAAAGTTCCTGCCCTTCACTTTAAACAAATGCGGATTAGTCACTTGATTAATAACTCAAAGCAAACAGAGCAGAGCCTACACACCTCTGCAGAAGATGACAGGAATATTCCTCTGTGACAGAGACTTACAAAACAGTGTAAATCCTACTTTGACACAGGGAGCATTTTCACAGCTTCATACACAACCTGCTTTTTTTGATATGGGGAAAGCCATTTGCAATAAACCACGATATTTTAATAATTGCTAATGTCCTTGCTGTCTCACCTGACAGATCCTATTCACCACTTCCAATGAAGCTTATATGAAATATAGCATAGCAAATGCAGCAATTTGGGGATGAAACCAAAACATTGTAGTTTGGGAAGGCTTTTTTGCTCCTTTAATTCCATATGATACCTTTTTGTATGAATTTCCTTACCCCACTCGCTCTACACAATTATGTTTCACAATGGAGATTTTTAAACTATTAGTTAGGCATTAGTTAAAGTACCAGAGGAAGAAAAAAAGCTGTACTTACTTTGCAAGGCTATTATCCTGGTAAACGAATCAATGAAGTGGGTACAGCACGAAGAACTAGCTACCCGTGCTGAAACCTTGCCGAGCAGAAGACTCTGTTAGCTTGCCTGCTCATTGACACCACTCCCACTTTCCCAACCTTAATTTGTGCACAGACACACTCCCTCTCACTCTCGCTTTCTTTTTTTTTTTTTTTTCCCCCTTAATCATTCTTCACGGCAACTCCTACCTTGGAGGAGCGAAATGATTCACACCAGAGTTGTCTTTGCCTGCCCAGCTACTGAAGACAACAACAAGCTCTGGCAGGAAAGAGCAGCCTTTGCACGTTGCCTTCAGCAAGCGCAGTACAAAAGGCACCAGACAAGAATGAACGAAGACTAGGAAGGAGAGAATACAGGAGTGGATGAGCAATTAAAAGACCTTCGGAGCAAAACCAGTACTCCAAGTTACATTGGAATTGCCGCTATTTGCAGAAAAAATTGTAATTGTGAAAAAGACACCCAGGAAGACAACCGAAACATGTAGGAGTGCGCGGCTGGGCACTTTGCATCTGTATATTCATTACGACAGTGTCTTAACTCTGTCTTTGTAAGGGGTGTATTTGGTTGCCTTAAAAGCCCAAGGCCAGACTGGAGTTCACGCTCAAGGAAAAATATCTGCCCTTCTTGTTGCTGCAAAGCAAGAGCTTCCTCCCACAGGCAGCCAAGTCCTCTGCAGGGGAGCAGCCTTCCCTGCTGCTAGCTGTCCCCAGAGGTGGGAGGGGAACAGAAAGTCACATCCCTTCACCTCCAGGACAGGGACCACTAGGTTAATGTCCTACAGTCCATGTTACTACTAATGAACATGACGGGGTGGGAAAAGAAAGTGAGAGAGACGTGATGGTGCAGCCCACCAGGTCTATTTTTATTTGAAAGATGTACGCAGTCCTTAGCAAGGAAGAGATGGCCCATCCCTACTCTGCACCATTCCCTGGTCGGGCAGCTGAGCTGCCTGCAGCGGGGAACACCAGCAAATACTCCCTGGGAGGCCATGGCTACACTTCAGCCCCCATGAGGAAACAGTGCGCCACACCACAGGCACAGCTCAGGTTCACACCTCAGTAACCCCAGGTGGCCCTGCATACGTTTAGGCAACAAAAGGTAAATGCAAGATAATTGAGTTTGCCTTCAGGTTTGCAGTGCTGGCAAGCCCAGCTGCCCAAATGCAAGGGCTAGGAAACCAAAGGATGTGTTTTCACCGGCACGATGCCTCCTTGGTGACAGTGGGAATTGGGGAGCTGTTACCTCCTTCTGGAACGACACGTTCCTGTGTTGCTTTGAGCATAAATCACACCACGCTACGGCATCCTGATCAGGTCCTACCCATGTTTCCTTCCAAAAGGCTCCTAAGCTCTTATTACCCCAAGGAAATTATATTTTACTTTCTGCTGTGATGCAGATGGGGTTCACCTTCCATCATTACCAGACAGCAAATTTAAAATTTGTATGCTTTGCCATAAGTGAATTCATAACAAAGACAGGGCGTGGATATGTTTAAGCAATTAAAATAAGATACAGGCCAGCTGGCTAAACTGTGCCATTTGGGCCATCATTGTTATGTATCTAATTATGCCTTCTGTAAGAGAAATCTACAATAATGTTGACTGCCAGACTCTTCTTAGATGTCTGCAGGTAATCTAAAGCCAAACATTGCCATCTCTGCAGGAGCAAACTTTCCTTCAGACCCAGGTCTACCAGGTATGATCACTGTAAAGTGACTCAGGGGCTTCTGGATAAGCTGCAGGGAAGTGGACAACAGCCAGACTGCCTTAACAGAGACAGCACAGCTCACCAGATCCATTTCCTGGCTAGTGATATGTGGGAAATACAGATATAAGTAGGTGCATCAGTTTCTTTTAAAGGCTGGTCAGTGGAAAAGGGAAAGGACTCTACATTGCCAAGCTGGAGGTGTGTAAACATCACTTACCCTCCACTCGATAACTGCTCTGTGATAGCTGAGGTCTGGCACTACCTAGCTGTACAGAATCCTTCAGCCTGATGTGGCTGCTGCGGAGATATTAATTATTTCTGGTCATGGTGCCATGAAACTAATAATCACTGCTGCAATTGTGATGCTTCAAATGAAGGAGTCCACACTGGCACGGGTAACTGAGCGGCTCAGAGGGCAGTCCTGCTTCCCCTGAGAACTGATATTTTGGGCTCATTTGCTGTTGGAGGTAATGTTAAAATAACTGTGACTTCCCAGTAGCTTCTTATTCATATTTATGGGAATTCCTGACATATGACTGAGCCTTACTTATAGCCCAACTAGGAAGATGTGGAAAAGCAGATGCTAACTTGAAAAGTAGAAGATGCCTAACCTCAGGTAGCTAAGGGTTGAAAGGGACAAGAAGTGAAGCAGTTCTCCCCCAGTCCAGGAATGCTCTTTCTCAGTCTGACTGAATGACAACTACTTGCATCAGCTCCCCCATCTCCCGCATTTACCTTTCACTAAATTAGTCTTGGCCAGTTTAATCTCCAAGTATTTTCAACCCACAACTATTATGACCCATATTTCTGTCACCAAGTTAAAAAAATAATAGAACCAATAACAGGATTTTTCCTTATAAAAAAATCAAAACTATTTTTAAGCCCCCTGTAAGCTGGACACCTCCTCGTGTGATATTATCTCAGAAAATAAGGTAAATAAATAAGGTGGAAACAACGGGTGTGTGACATGGAACACTTTGAATATTAAAGTCTGAAGCCTTGTAACACAGACAAGTTACAGTCTACTGACGAAGTAATAACTGAGCTTTTGTCCTCACTCTTCCAGGTCTTCAATAGGCCAAGGAAAAACACAAACTAAGACCTTGCTGGACACTAGGATCCAGCAGTTACGTATGTGTGTCTTCACCTATGAAGCAGCAAGCCGGAGACGCTTCATTGCAGAGGGATGCGAGCAGCCGGGTGACTCTCCTGTTACTCAGCCTGCGTTCTGCCCTCGCTCCCCGGCTCTCCTTGCCACTCCCTCTGAACACCTCCTAGGAACGCTGTTCCTACATGCTGCTGGAAAGGAAAGAAAAACAGCCTCCTTCTCTCCGCTCTTTGAACAAGCTCATTTGGGTGGAGGGAATACTCCTCCCGCTCAACACAGCATGGAGAACTATTTCAACTATTTCAGAGACTCAAAGCATCCACTGTAGTCTTTTTTTTTTTTTTTCTTCCCTCAAACTCACTAATGCTCAGTGCATGTCTGATTGCAATTAACGCTGTCACGCTTTGGAGACCACACGGGAAATAATCTACAAGTGGGACTGAATAATGACTGGAACAAGCTGGTGCATTCTTTCTACACTGCCAGTCATGAAAGGTCTTCCAATCGAGTTACAGCTTTCACAGTAAGCTGTGGATCTTGCAAGGAAGCCAATGATAGGAGGTCATTTGTACACTTTTATTTTGATTCAGTGACCTACACAATTAGAAAAATTCAAAGGGTAAGACTGCAGTGTCTGTAAACAGGTATACACAGCGGAACTTTTCATAGTCCTCACATAACGTGGGTCTAGATTACTATTTAGCAGTGGGAATAAGCCATAGCCAAAATATTTTTCATTTTCCTAAGAAATGCTAGCAAAGATCAGACCGACAGTTATAAAGCACAAGTTAATTTGAAATTAAACCACCACTTAAAATAATAAAGTGTTATTCTATGGCTCCATTGAGAGAGACACAAACTGAACAGTAACAAGCTGTCTCTCTCTCTTTTCTTTCTTCCCAAGGTGTTTGCACTGATACGCATAAAGGATGGTGTCACATAGCAACACACTGATGCAACATGTATGGTAGCAACACAGTTTTCTTCAGACATGTCTGCTGACGTAGAAGTATTACTCACTCACTTCTAATAACGGCCAGGAAAATAATTGCTCATACTTACATGTGCTTACCTTTGGGTTTTTTTTCAGTGAGGCTGTTCTGGACTGGTGTATACATTTCATCATTGGGAAAAAAATGAAATAGGCAACGAAACAGCTGACAGCTTTCAGTGAGACCAAAGCCTTTAATTTGGTGAATGGGAAATGAATGATCCCATGTGCTGGAATCAGGTTGTTGAGGATCTGACTGTTTTCCCTAAAGGCGTTGCTCCCAACACTTAGCACTGGGCATAATGCTTGGTGCAATACAAACAAATCAGCTTAATAAAGAGGTAGATTTGACCGACTACTTGGAAGAGCTGCTGAAAATAGCCTCGCAATACGGCTAGGAAGTCAAAAAAAAAAAAAAAAAGGGAAAACCATATATGTAAAAAAAAAAAAAAACACCTGAGGCTGTTCTGGACTGGTGTATACATTTCATCATTGGGAAAAAAATGAAATAGGCAACGAAACAGCTGACAGCTTTCAGTGAGACCAAAGCCTTTAATTTGGTGAATGGGAAATGAATGATCCCATGTGCTGGAATCAGGTTGTTGAGGATCTGACTGTTTTCCCTAAAGGCGTTGCTCCCAACACTTAGCACTGGGCATAATGCTTGGTGCAATACAAACAAATCAGCTTAATAAAGAGGTAGATTTGACCGACTACTTGGAAGAGCTGCTGAAAAAAGCCCCCCAAAACGGCTAGGAAAAAAAAAAAAAAAAAAAAAAGGGAAATCCATATATGTAAAAGAGACAAAAAACCCTGACACGTTATTCTGAAACTTTATCTTTTTCCCGCTCTACAAAGACTAAGATCAACTTCTGTGAAACAAAAACGGAGAGACAATGCTATGGATTAATTACTTCTCACTAAAGCATCTGTGGATCCACTCCTTCCAGGAAGAAAAAATTTTGAGCCCATCCCTGTGTGCACTGCTGGTTCAGGGTGCCATCTCATGGGGACACAGATAATATCCTTTTTCCTTTCTCACTGAGGCCCGCAGTTACTGCACCAGCTTCCTTTGCCGGGCTGGAACTATGACTCAAAACCACTTGCCTTACGTTTGTCCCAGAAAAGATGCAAACACGCTCACATTTGTCATATTTCCTTAGTCATTTTTTTTCCATTTAGTGATATTTTCAAATCTTTGAAGTGCCACTCCCTATTATTGTTTAGGTGAATGGATTCACCTTATTGAAGCCGCCTTACCATGGGAGTACTGTTACTGAGAATGCTTT